ACTGCCTCTCACAGTTGGGTCAAACTCATGCTGGTAGCTTCGAGAACACTGTCCCACCATCTCATCCTCTCTCGTTACCTTCTCCTTGTGCCCTCCATCTTTCCCAACATCAGGGTCTTTTCCGAGGAGTCTTCTCTGTCCTTCCAGTGAGCACTCAGGGCTGATTTCCTTAAGAATGGAGAGGTTGGATCTTCTGGCAGTCCATGGCACTCTCCAGAGTCTCCTCCAGCACCAGAATTCAAATGCATCCATTCTTCAGCGATCAGCCTTCTTTATGGTCCAGCTCTCACTTCCATACATCACTACTGGGAAAACCATGGCTTTAACTAAACGGACCTTTGTTGGCAAGGTGATGTCTCTGCTTTTCAAGATGCTGTCTAGGTTTGTCATTGCCCTTTCTCCCAAGAAGCAGGTGTCTTTTAATTTCGTGACTGCTGTCACCATCTGCAGTGATCATGGAGCCCAAGAAAGTAAAATCTCTCACTGCCTCCATTTCTTCCCCTTCTATTTGCCAGGAGGTGATGGGACCAGTGGCCATGATCTTCGTTCCTGGATTAAGCCCTTAGAAAGTACTTGCATGGGCAATAGGTGGCGCTGTGATCGCACAGGTGTGATCAAACCAGCAAAACAAAGGGAGAAAGCCGGTCTTTCAAAAGGGAGTTTAGCCAGGTACTCGCAAGGGTGTATTTCTCTGAGTGAGGAACACACATTCCAGGCAGTGACAGATTTACGTATAAGCTAAACAAGCTATAGCTTTGGGCTGCACTCTCTTGGGGACCCCCCAAAAAAATTAAAGAAAAAAACCTCCCTAGATGTACATTTCCAAAATATAAGATAAAAAACAAAATAAAACTTACATACAGCAACAGTGTTCTGTGTTGTGTAGGCTCCTATGATGTAAGTCATGGTCCCCGCCTGCTAGCCTGCTCCCTAAAATATCACTGGTTTGCTCCTTTCTATATATAGGGTACCTACATTCTGAATGTGCAAATGGCTTGAGATACCTATTAGATCCATAAATTACCATATAGCATATATTCAACACAAAAAACAGTGACAATTTGTTGTTAACAAAGTGGTTGGGGAGACTCAGCCAGATGGGTGGGATATACCGTATTTTTCGCCCCATAGGACACACTTTCCCCCCTCCAAAAATGAAGGGGAAATGTGTGTGCGTCCTATGGGGCGAATACAGGCTTCCGCTGAAGCCTGGAGAGCGAGAGGGGTCGGTGCGCACCGACCCCTCTCGCTCTCCAGGCTTCGCGCAGATCTCCGCAATGCGCGGGAGCCCAGCGCTCGGCTCCCACGGCTTGCGGAGAGTTGCCTGTTCTGGGGGCTGGGGTTGGGGGAAGCTCGGGCTTCCCCCGCCCCAGCCCCGCGCCTGGGGGGGAAATAATTTTTTTTCCCTTTATTTCCCCCCCCAAAAATCTAGGTGCGCCTTATGGGACAGTGCATCCTATAGGGCGAAAAATACGGTAAATATCATCATCATCATTAGGGCCCCATTACCTTCAGTAGCATAGGGCCTCATCAAACCTAAATCGGGCCCAAGGGGTCCCTTCCAACGCTACCATTTCATGGTGGTGATATATGGGGGACAACACAAGAACGGGCCTTTTTTGTGGTGGCTCCCCTTCTGTGCAATGCTTTCCCCAGAGAGGCTCGCCTGGCGCCATCGCCTTCAGCTGCCCGTGTGTCTGCTTAGCCCTTCAGCCATTAAATAATCTACGGCCTGTTCAATATGTCTCTGTATGTGTGTGCTGTTAGAATGATTATTTTATTATTATGCTGCACGTTACATTTTTATTATGCTGCGTACTTTATTTATTTAATTAATTTATATACCACCCTTTTTTGAAATTTAAGCGGATTTATCGGTAGTGGGGTTTAGATAATAAAAACAAGTTCCTAAAAAAGCAAATACCGGTAAAAGGGTGAGAGAGAAAACATCAGGAAAGGAGGAGGGGGTGGGAAGTCCAGAAGAAACTTTGCACATGTTTATAAAGCATCTTATGATGATAAACGCTTTGAAATACTGTTGGGAGGCTTCATAAAAAATTATACGGGAAGATGGAGAGAAAAAAAGTACCGGTAAATGCCAGCCTTCAAGAAAATACCTCAGGGCGGTACGCAGGATAAATGACAAGATAAAGCACAAGTAAACAAACAAACAATAACACAATACACCCTTTCCCACTGATAACACGTAAACAGCTGCAGGATATTATTCAAAGGCCTGGTTGAAGATTTATGTTCCTAATTGTTGCCCTGAGATCTTTGGCTAAAGGGCGGTATGTAAACTAAAATTAACATTGTCTATGGCCTGTTAAATGCGTGCGGGGCTATTATTATTACTATGATTATTAGGGGGGTTTACTGTTTAGGGCAGCTTTTAATGTTGGATGTTTTCTTGTTTTTGGTGTTTTGTTGGAAGCCACCCAGAGTGGCTGGGGAAACCCAGCCAGATGGGCGGTGTGTGTGTGTGTGTGTGTGTGTGTGTGTGTGTGTATATATTAGGGGGGGTTTACTGTTATTGTGCTTATTTTATCACTATGCCATGCCCAGGGCCGGATTTAGGTTTGATGAGGCCTTAAGCTCCTGAAAATAATGGGGCCCTTTCTATGTCCAGCTGTCCTTTGTCAACAACAAATTGTCACTGGTTTTTTTGTGTTGAATATATAAAAAGGTAAAGGTACCCCTGCCCGTACGGGCCAGTCGTGTCCGACTCTAGGGTTGCGTGCTCATCTCGCTCTAGAGGCCGTGAGCCGGTGCCGTCCAAGACACTTTCGGGTCACGTGGCCAGCGTGACGAAGCTGCAGCTGGAGAGCC